TATAAAATAAGCATCCTCCTAGATTGCCAAAGGAATGGGAAACCACAAGAATAAATTGGAAGAGAAACCAGGAAAGCTGTTTTTTATTTTCTGAAGGAAGGAAGAAATTATTTAGCCTGATCCCAGGCTCTTTCAGCATCTCACACATTGTTATTGCTGAACAAATGGTTATTATTATACTTAACAGTGAGGTAATGCAGGATGGACCTTTTCTTCCCTAAAAGGAATATGGAGTAGTTCCAGGTCCCATTTCTGCATCCTGAATGGTGCGTTCACCTTAGCAGCTGAAGAATCTTCTTCTTTTTTTTTTCTTTTTTTCCTTCCTCAAAGCTAGAATAAGGCAGGAGGCAGAATGCCTGTCTAGAAAATGACAAATCAGACATCACACACATACAGACCCATTACTTCTGTCATATTTCTCCTCTTAACTTTTCTCAGCAATTAAGGTTTCCACGAGCCTCCCACTCCTTTTCAAATCCTGCTCGTGAGGCAGTTGTAATTAAATCTCCTTGATTTCCCACTGCTGCTGCTTTGTCAAATAAGTTTCTCTTAGAAAAGTTGCCCTTCTAAATTTCCCCACACTCTTTCTTGACTCTGGCTTGGATGATCCACAAAATCTCTTCCTCCCTGTCTTCTAAGCCTAAATTCAGAACAAGTGCTACCTCTTGCAGGAGGCCTTCTATTTTGATGCCCTTTGTGTGGACTTTCATGCCCTCTTACGCATAGTTATCACACTGTCTTGTAGTTATCGGTGTCTTGACCTGTGCAGAGGGGACAGAGCCACGGTTTTGCTCCCTCTGCCTGGAGCCAGTTTTGCCACAAAACACAATAAAGAAACACCGAGCCCTTGCTTTCCACCTTCATAGCAACTATTTTTTTTAAATATTTTATTTAAAAGGAAGAAGAGGAAAAAAAAGCAGAACAAAACAAAACAGTGTAAGGGTACAAGTAATTCAGAACTACAAAAAAAGAAAAAAACAGTATGCTATCACTAGTTAATAGATCACTCGCTATCATCTTAGAAACGGTGTTTCAGGTCACAGGATCAAAGCACACAAAGCGAACATTCAAACAGTGAGACTGCAAACAGTTGTGTTCAGTAATCCAATCCAAAATATTAATATGGTCTTCTATGTAACACACCTAAACACCCTTGCTGTTGTATCCTTCAGGGCACTTTCCTTTCCCTCTCTTTATTACAACAAAATTTACACATTTTGGGCTTTATTGCTCCCTTAGATCTTATTACTTTTTTTTGTAAGAGAATAAAATCAAGCATGATAAAACAAAGCTGTCAGTCAAAACCAAGGATAGACATAGCACATGATGTAAAAACAGAGTACAAGGTTATCAACAATGGTTACCATAATGCCTCTTGTGTCCTTAAGAAGATTTGTCTATCTTTTTAGGTATTATAAAGTTAAACATAACAGTAGAGAACAAGACCAATAAAACCTAAACTTTGTAAATCTTACAGCACCTCAAAAGAGGATAATAGTCAAACCAGAATGGGCATCATAGTGAATCTTATTGCCTTTAAAGTAGTGACAGCAACTATTTTCTTGAGAGTGCTGTCAATGTGCTAAGCTTAAATTGAGCACTGCCTTTGTTCCCCCCTTGTTAGCACCACAAAGAGAATAAGATGCATTGATTTCCCCTGCAATAAGCCTCCAGGAATCATTTGAAAACTTCAAATAATCTGCCACATAATCCTTGAGCACCTCATGGGGGACCAGATTTGTACTAAGCGCCTTGGGGGAGGGTGATAATAGGGAATTGTGAAACTAGGTCTCAGGCTACACAAGATACTTGACTTTGATAAAGATTTAAATAGCAATTTATAGCTGGGCATGTTAGTGCCCTAATCCTGGCACTCAGAAGGCTGAGGCAGGAGGACTGCTAAGAGTTCAAAGCCAGTCTGGGACCACATAGTGAGTTCAAGGCCAGCCTGAATAACAGAGTGAGACTCTATCTATATATAAATATATAAATAAGTAAAATAAAGTTAAATATCATTTAAAAATTAACTAACTCTGTGACAATAAACAGGGGCCAAGTAAAGCAATGACAATACTAGAGAATATACATTATTCCAGCTGAGAGAGATTTCTGAAAGGCAGTATTCAGGGCAGCTTTAAGGAAGCATCCAGCATTGGGATTTGCAGACAAGCAGGGGCTCAGTAAAAGGAGACGAGTATAGCACTTTCAAAGGACAACATAAACAGAGGCACCGTGCAGAATCTGCACAGTCCATTTAGATTAAGACAGTAGTGAGTAGATTTGCCTGGCTAGGAAAAAGGTCCTGCGATGAGAAAGAGTGGAAATTGGGTTCCAAAGCCAGCATGAATTACCTGGACTTTTCCCCCCAATGAAGAGAACTACCCAAGTCACCCACTTAAGGAGGCCTCGTCAAATTCGTGCCCTGAACGAGAAATGCACACTGAAGCAGGAATGAACAATATTACCATAACTTACCCACCACCAAGCAATCTTCCAGAACACCAGTTAACTCCTGGCTGCCAAAGTCTGTTTCTCTGGTCTGGACTTTATCCATTTCTATCAGTAAAGACTGCATACCCTCCACATGCAAATTACCTCGCTAAACTCCCCTCTTCTCTCAAGCACAAGGCAGATAGAATTCCTAAGTTCAAAGTAAGTCTCTCTCTCTCTCTCTCTCTCTCTCTCTCTCTCTCTCTCTCTCTCTTGCTATAAGTCTCTGCTGTTCTCCCATTTCTTAGAGGCAGTCTTCTTTCAGATTTCTCATCAAACTCTAGACTTTCGATAGCCTTTGCTTTCTGCACGTGTTTCAATTGTCCTGGCAGATTAAACCAGGAAGGACAGACAAGTCAGTAACTCATTTGGCTTTGGAGGTGAGGTGGCTGAATTTTGAGTGCTTTCTTTATAATGTTTAGCTTCAGCTATTTTCTGAGACTTAAGAATTGGCTCTAGCTTAATTCTCTCAGAATTAAGAGTTAAAGAGTTAGATCTGCCAGGAAACTTCCCTTGCATCTTCCTCTAATGAGAAGCAAGACATCACTCTTCTTGGTTTTTGTTTTTGTTTTTTGTGGGGTGGTTTAGAGGGGGGTTTTGGTATTGGGATTCGAACTCATGACCTTGAGCTTGCCAGACAGGTGCTTATGCTGCTGAGCTATATCCCCAGCCTGATACTGCGCTTCTTGTCTAAATGTAGAGTGGAAATCATGGCCATGCCAAGATGCGACAGTCCAAAGCATGCTTCTGAGCATGGCTGGGTACGTCTGGCTTCTTTTCTCTTCCAACAGTCTTTAGAGAAACACAAGAAGCCTAGAAAACTCTGCCTCTCATTATACCAAGCCATGTGTCTCCTATCATTGAAACAATTCCCGAAATCCCACCCTCTCTGTGATCCCTCACGACTTCAGAGAAGAATAAGTCCTTCCCTTCATCCGACTCTGTCTTATGAAAGGCTTTTGGCCCCTTTCCCTGATCACCACCCCAGCCCCATTCAGATTCCACATTCTCCTTTGCTCCTCGCTCCTTAAACATATGTGCCCTTGAACTCTCCTGACTATAAATAGTCCACATTTTAACTCCTCCGTGGTGCTGTAAACTCTTCCTGTCGGGCCAAGCTTGGGCTTGTTATTAAATTCTAAGGGACTAGCCTTATTCAGGGTGGTTTTCCTCCCTGAACTGGGACAAGACTACACTGAACAAGCATTTGCCATAATAAACACAACATAGCTACAAATCCCTTCCGGAAACCCAGATCCAGGGATGCACAAGTTCATCATAGAAAATGGGCACAGTATTTACACACAACCTAGGCCAATTCTCCATACACCTTAAATCACCACTAGATCATTGGTAACCTAACACAACATAAATGGTTATTACACCATATTGTTTAAGGACATGAAAGAAAAAAACCTTTACACGTTCAATGCGAAGCAATTATCTTCCCAAATATTTTCAAACAGCAGCTGGTTGAATCTGTGGATGCAGAACCAATAGGTGTCAGCTGTATTTTTTCCCATATGCCATGTTAATGAACCAACATTTCTATAGCATTTTACAGAATGCTTTCTTATCAATGAGCTCATTTGTTTCTTTCATGTAACACTGTGAAGTGGCATTTACATTATTGTCTCTTAATAAGGAAATGTAAGTTAAAAGAGGTAAGTAATAAATGGTACTAGCAAATTATTTGGGGATTATCCCATGCAGATCTTTCTCCTGGTACCATAAAACAAAATAAATCTCAGATGAATTGTCTTAGTTACTCCTCTCTCGTTGCTGAGACAAAATACCAGATACCCAAAGTTAAAGGAGTACAGGTTTATTTGGCTCATGGTTTGTAGAGGTTTCAGTCCATAGCAGGCTGGCTCCAAGGCAGGGTGGTCTGGCAGAAGGGCATCACAGAGGAGAAACAGTCCCTGGCAAATAGGCAGGCAAGAGGATACTAGCTCTCTTTCTGTTCCTTATATTTTATGCAGGTTACTTGCCCTTGGGTGGGTGTAACACTAACACCCTTAATCCTAGCAGAACTATGCCAAACCTATCACTGGACTTCTTTAAAGTCCCACATCCTTCATTTCAGAACCACACTCTCTAGAATCAGCCACCTCTAAAAAGTCTGCTCTGTGACTGCATGAGGCTTTGGGGATTACAGATCTGTACCAAAGGTTCAATGCTTGTAAGAATCAAAGACCAATACAATAAAACAAGACATGTTTATCTATCAGATTAATTGTAACAATCCACATTGCAGGTGATGGTGTGCAGTGAATGGTTTATCAGCTCCCTGACGAAGGTATGAACTGATGAAGCCCTTCCACAGCAATGGGGAGCTACCTACCAAGAGCTCCAAGAATATTCAGACACACTGACCAAGCAAATCATCAGAGCTATTCTCAAAGATTCAAACTTCTTAATGCTCACCAGTAGTATCTGAATAGTAATAATGTGTACATATTTTATTATGTGTGTATAAAAATACTAAGACATGTTTTAAGTGAGGTATACAAAGAATTTTATTGAAAGGGTAAATATATATATATATATATAATTTGGGTTTTCCAGAATGTAGACAATGAGGAGGTGTTAGGAGAGCAAATGGATTTAGTGGGGAATAATACCTGTGAAAGAAAAGAAAAGGAAAAACAGCACGACCTCGAAGGAGAGCCCTCAAATTACAATGTATAAGTGGAAAATCTTTGGCAGCCCAGCAGGCCGCAGAGAACGCTGGCCATTAGAAGGTTCCATGCTGGGGGAAATAGCCAGGGTCTTATGGCACAAACTCGCCAGTCACGGGCTGGGGCTCCTCTTAGAATAAGGGATTGTGGTTCAGATGCTGGGACCAGTCCTGGAGAAAGGAACAGCTGCAGAGAAGTGTCCCCTGAAGAAGGATCCAAGTTGCCCACAGCTGAATCTACATAAAAAAAGATCAAAAATTCACCAGAATTGTAATAGTGGTTATGGAATTTTGCATAATTTTTATTTTCGTCATATTTTTCTGTATTTTCCAGGTTTTTGCCCCCCAAGAAAGTATAATAACATAATAAAAATGTGTAATATATAATAATAATCAGGAGAAAGATTGTAAACTGAGAAAAATAGAAGTTGTCTAAATGAGGGCCAGGCAGGGATTTCTGTTTCCTTTGGTTTTTCTTACTCCTATCACTAGCCAGTCTTTGAGAATGATGGTTCTGTTTTCATAGTTAGCTTACCAATATGTACATTAAGATGTTAGTTCCAGAACAAGACAAATCTTTAAGTTGCCTGTACACACTTTGGTTCACTTTCTGAGGTCTCCTTCCTCCTAGGCTTATAAGGAGTTCCCAGGCTCTCTCTCATTGTTAAACTGCCCTGTAAGGAAGGAGCTGGGGTGGACAGAAACAGGGGTCACACTTACTGTTCCATGTATACACAGGGCAAGGGTAGGGTTTTATTGCATTGCACCATCTATCAGCCAAGATACTATCTATTAACACCTTATCAAAAAACAAATGTCAGATCTCACATCTTTGATCATTCGTGTTTATGTAACTGCCTTCGATCAAGATAGGTTCAGCAGATCTGGGGAATGAACGGATCATCACAAGTGCTTTTGCATGCTATGTGGAGTTCTGCCAAGAACAGACTGAGACTCAAGACACTGCTCTCACACTGGCTGTGTCGAGGTGTCAGATGACTTCAGGCACTGTTTTCTTGCCCATAGAAGCTGGGGCTGGTATTAGTGGTTTTAAAAGGGCTTTCCTGCCCTTGATTTCAGACTCTCTCAATATTAATTTACCAATGCATAAATAGCACTCTCAGCAAGCCAGCACTATGCCCTGCTGCAATTAAATAACTACGTCACCAACTCATTCCCCTTCCAAGGGATCTTCCTCACTGAGCATTGATAAGGACAATCACATTCACCATTCACAGGCAGAAACAAGGCTGGTAACCATCCAAACACCAATGGATAAGAGGCTAATTTAATCATCTAGAGCACAGCAGCACAAAGGAATACCATGCAGACATAAATAAGAATTAGGAGACCTACCCAACCTTTCTATGGTGGCCTTCAAGGACGTTTTCCTCCTTCCTCTGACCTCTGTCCCTTTTATTGCTCCTTCTTCTTCCCAACCTTTAAATGTTAAAGGGACACACAGTCGGTCCCTGGTCATTTTCTCTCTATATTCTTTCTCTACCTTCGATTCCTAATGATCCTCTAGGACAGTGATGGTGAACCTTTTAGAGTCTCATTGCTTGGCTGAACAATGACTGAAATTATAAAGTGTAGCTGGGCTTACTGGGCCTCACCAACCCCTGACACAATATCTGCAGCAGGAGTAAAAGTGAGACGGGTTTAAAGGAGTCTCTTCTTAGACCAGGATGGCAGTAGTCAGATTCCTTCACTGTCACTTCTTAATATTGGCACTGAGACACAAAATAGGCATCCTGAGTTTAACATGTCAGGGAGAGAAAATGGAACTGACATCGTATGAGCTCCTCCTTGCTTACAAGTCCCCATTTCCTAGCAAATGAAAAATTTACCCTGTCACTCAAACCAGAAAGCTTGGAATCATTTTCATTCATTTCACTCACTTTCCATATTCTATAGGCTCTACTCTCCAAATTTCAATCTGCTTTATCTCCCCGCACCAAGCCACCGTCACCTGCTTCCTGCTTCTGCCAATAGCCAGCTGGTATCCTTCCACTCCATTCTTGCTCCTTGACAATCTATTCACCACATGGCAGCCTGAAGGATCAAAACATGTGCCAGCCATCATCCTCCTGCCTAAACCATTCAGTGGTTTTCTGTGCCACTGAGAATAAAGGCTGAACACCTTACCATGGCTGCAGGGCCTCATGGGCTTTGCTTCCCACATCCCCTTTCCCCTGTACCCCATCTCACTCTTTTCTTACTAGCATGTGGATATGCCCATCGAGAAGCCTTTGTCCATGTCGTACCATCCAGCTGGAAAGCTTGCCACCAGCCCTTGGTATGCCCTTCTCTCACTCAGGTCATCTCCCCACAGAGTGGCCATCTCTGGTCATCCCAGAGTCTCCATCATTTCTCTCTTCCCGTGGTTATTTACCTTTGCAGCCCATATCACTCCCTGACATTACGTAATTATCATTTCTGTGTTTGTTTTTGGTATGTAACCCAAAGGTTAAGGAGCTCTGAGATCTTGTCTTGCTTTTCTAATGCCGTATTCTCGCTGCTAAAACAGTCAGTACTTGGCTTTCAAGAGGCATTCAAATATTTGTTGAAATCACTAATGGAAATATGTGCCGTTATAGAACAATCTCTAAGATATATTGTTATATAAAAAAGCAAAGTGCAGATGATGCCTGGAATACTTCTGGAAACACACTTAATAATGGTTGCCTCTGGAAACAGACACTAATGGGTACACGACAGAGGGAAACATCATAATTTTCATGATGATTTTTGCATTGTTTGAATTATTTCCATAAACATGAACTATCTTTTGAATTAAAAAAAAATCTTCTGTTTGGTCCCTTGTTCTGTTTTAATTAGCCCATATGATTATTCACATGTTATATAATAACTCCCCCACCTCCCCTATAGCTACCAACATCCTTAAGCTTTTCCAGTTCTCTGAACTGAAGCCACCATGTCTTGCACATTTTTGTTCTTGTTTTGTGGGAAAGATTCCTCACCACCAAAACCAAGGACCAAGATTTCACTTCTTCCATTTTCCTCCCAAAGCCATCTAACTACACCATTCTGCTGAGCTCCATGGTCAGCGGCTCTGGAAGCCAGCTCTCCATTTCCTTCCCAACAAAGCTGAGAGTTTTGCTGTCCCCAGCTAGTGTCCTCTGCTTTCCCAGAGGCCATTGGCTGTTCCAGAACACCAGGCAGCCAATCTAGACTGTGCCAATACCATCAGTGTGGGTCATTAGCTTGGACAAGGCTGTTTATAAAGGACAGTTGAAATGTGCTTTTCAGCAGGAGGTGAAGGAGCTGTTTCCCAGTCCACTGCTTGTCCCTGGCCTGGTTCCACAGAACCTGAGACCCAAAGACATAGTGATCTTGTTCAGAAGGTAAAGCAGCAGAAGCCTAGATGTAGAGTGAGGTGGTTGTCTGGGGTTTCAGGCAAGATTATAAAAACCCCATGACTAAAGCTGGGATCTTCATCTTCCCAGAAGCAGGGAATCTGGCTAGATCTCCCATTCAGACCCTAACTTCAACCAATTATCTCTTCCCTTTGCTGCATGCTTGGTTTTCAAGGGAAGCTGAAGCAAGCTGAGGGAGGAAGAGAACCAGTTCACCACAAGGCAGCTTCCAGAGTTCCTGTAGGCTCACTGGCCTCTCCTGGACTTGGCAAATGTTTGAGGCCAGCTCATGGGCACTGTTGGGACTTCTGGAGACTAGTAATCTCCACAACTTGCAGATCTCCAGGCATACATAACTTCCCTCCCACACTCCATAATCAAGTACACTTTAAATCTATTACAGAAACCTCTTGCCTTAAAAATAAAATGAGTGGGTTGGTAATAATAAAAGCAGAGGTCAAATGATCAAACAAACAACTCTTTTATGACATACGATCATAGAGAAGCATATTTAAAATGTTAAGAGTCAACTTTGAATAAAATTATCCATAAAGTATTACAACCCCCCCACACATCCTACTCAAAACAAGTGACAAGATTTGAGAATGGTAGGAGCCATTCTCAAGGCAGCCTTTGGTCTAACCTTCCTGAAATACCTCCTAAGAGAGTACATGGTCAAGAGTTTTGTGTCCAGGGCAGGGGACAACAGTCTCCTAGGTTATGACCTGCCCAGTTATGCTTTGTGCAATGGCTGGTGTTGAACATCTGCATTCACACATCTGTGTTCTCATCCACACACAGAGTCCTAAATATAGACAGAATCCAAGTGTTTGATCCTAAATATATGCAGAGTCTAAATGTTTGGTCTAGAAATTGCAGTAATCGGTCTTGTTGGGCCTAGAACCTCAGATACCTGAGCAGCTTCTGAGAGATGGCCTTAGCAAGCTGCTCTTTTGGAATTCTTCACAAGCTAGCTGTGACATCCGATGGTACTCAGTTACCAGCCAAAGTTATATTCTAACGAGTCAGTAATTACTACTATAGTTAATATTACTTAGGGAAAACACTTTTTTTCAGTATTGCTAGTCTAGATTTTCCACACCATTATAAAATCAAGCAAAAATGATAGCTATGATTATTGAACATTTTCCTATGTGCAAGTGCCCTGTTAATCAAATAGCCTGAATATCACAGCTAATACTCAAAACATTCTTAAATGTGCTTATGATTACCCCTTTCCTCTGTTTTGGGGTGTGTGTGTGTGTGTGTGTGTGTGTGTGTGTGTCTGTCTGTCTGTCTATTAGTCTGTGTTATTTTTTGGGTTTTGTTCGTTTTTGTGATACTAGAGATTGAATCCTGGTCCTTTACATGAGTTACATCTCCAGAATTTTTTTAAACTTAACTTTTTTTTATTTTGAGGCAGAGTCTTGCTAAGTTCCCAGGCTGGGCTCCAACTTGTAATCCTCCTGCCTCAGCCTCCTGGAGTGCGAGGATTTCAGGTGTGCACCAGCGTACTTGGCTGCCATCTTAAAGACAGCAAAAGTGAGGAGAACTTCAGTAAACTACCAGGCTCACAGGTGAGCATTTAGAGCTATGAGCATTTTGAAGGGAGTAATTTTTTATAGACTCTAACTTCGAGCTTTTCACTATTTAACCAAAGGGGTAGCAATAAACCCTAGATTAAATTTCATGTTACAGCTGCTCCTGAGTATGTAAAGAAAACCCTCCTTCAATAGTAAATTCTATTTATTTATTTTTCTTATTTATTTTGCAGTGCTAGAGATTGAACCCTGGGCCTTGTGCATGTTAGGCAAATGCCATATCACTGAGCTACATCTCAGGCTCCCAAATTGTGTAAGTTGTATATGCACCACCACAGACATGATCATATTGCTTCCATTAAGAAAATCTTTATGACATCATAATGCATACTATTAATTGGCAATATGACATCATTAACCAAATCCTTTTGATAGGAGTGATTCTATTGGACCTAACGACATTATACAAGTACACAAATAAGTAAGACAAAGTGCCCGGCCCTCAGGGGGCTCACAGTCTAGCAGGAGCAATGCATGATCGGGGAACAAGGCGATGAGAATTGTGACAAAATTACAAAGTCTAAGGCGGCTTAAGGTAATTTTGTCTAGAGGAATCCAAGAAGACCTCACATTTGAATGAGATAAGCAATTTAAAATGAATCTCAGAGCGAGCAAGAATTTGCAAAGCCAGCAGAATACAAGAAAGAGACTGTGAGAGACTGGAGACTTGGGGTAACACAGAACCAGGGGAAGGGAGCAAGCACTTTTGTAGCTGGATGGGAAACAATGAAGCTGAAGGAAAAGGATGGGTCCAGATTCGAAGAGGCCTGGTATATCATACGCTTAGAAGACTGAACATCAGCTGTACACACTAGAACTTCTGAGCAGAAGGGTAGAGAGCTGAAAAGCTTTCCTGATGGGGCTTCAGGCACCAACAGATTAATAGGTATCTAGGTCTGGGTAGATCTAATGGTGCTGAATATTTCATTAAATGTGAATTTTCTAAATGCAAAAAGTAGGATACATTTTAATGTGCTTCCCGCTCTCTTTCTCCCTATGGCAACTAATCTTAATTATCTCAGAACACTGCGTACAAGAAGACATCTCACCTGTTTATTTTCAGAAGGAACAAGTCAAGGGTTTACTCTCAGTATTAAATGTGCATTTTTATAGGTTTAAGGCTTAGTTAAATGGCACTGAAATCCATATAAAGGTTATTGAAAATGTAAGTGTTAGAAGATGTGGGGAAGGAAAGTATTTGAAAAGTTGCCAGATTGAAGCACTGTTATGAAAAGAACAGAAAATGCCTGCTAAAATCTTACTGCACCCTGGGTCCTATTAAGTGAAGGGAATGGATGTTCAGAGCATCGTTCTGCACTGTAAAAAGTCTGTGGAAGAAATGCGCTCCAGCCTACCCTGGTCCCTCTCCCCGCCTCCACTTCCCCACCTCACATGCAGCCAGGTTCCTATCACCCAGCAATCACGCAACGTCAGCATCATGGCCTAGTTCTACCTTGGCTGTAAACCTGATCTCAGAACTTTTCCATTCCCAAGGCGGCGAACATCCGGGTAACCAGCCAGAACACTAGGAAAATTGAAAAAGGGAACAGTCCCATCTGAAAAAAGCAAAGGCAGCAAATGTGCATGCTAAATGCCACATATGCATTCAGAGCGACATAGACTCAGTCAGTAATCACAGAGCACCTGACATGCCCAGCACTGTCCCGGTATTATGAGTGCTGAGAAAAATCACAAATGCCTCATCTTCTCAGGGAACTCCGCTACATTTCTATACATAAACTGTTCCAAGATAGAAACCGAGATCCTGAAAAGCTCATTCACTTCCAGATTTAAAAAAAATCTCACCCAGGGGCACTTGAAGTGAGTCAAAAAGACCAAGTTGAAAAGTGAGACTGAGTCACTGATGCTAATTACAAGCTCAGAAGAGCTGTTCTGTGTGTCACAAAAGAAGTCCCTATATCTGGGGGCCACATTTACACTTGCAGACCCTAGAGGAAGGGACAGAACATTAAGCAGGCAGGAAGCCAAGGAGACCATCCCAGCCTAAAAGCATAAAAAGGGTTACTCAGCAACTCAGTGTGTTTCACTCGGTAACAGGGTGTTTTTGGAGGGAAAGTCTGAAGACTCAGACCTGGTTCAGATCCCAGTTTTGAGACTTCATAACTGTGGGCAAGTTACTTAACCCTGCCAGAAATCAACACTCATTACTGTAAGGGGTTATTGAAGAATTATGTAAGAAACAACACATGCAAAGTGCTTAGCATAGCGCCTGCCACTCAGTGCAAAGTCAATAAATGTGAGCTATGACATGTCACACTTAGTAAGCCTCGGAACAAAATCATTACTCGCTTTTGAAAATCTGTTTCTTTTGCACCTGCATTCTCCATTTGCATGATGTCCACGCACTTGCTGAATTTCGGAGCCAGTCTCTGGTCCAATTTTCACACCTCCTCTCTGCTACCTTCCTCCGTCATCACTGTTGCTGCCACAGCCGACATCTTGTACATTTCTATGCTTGAAGATTCTAAGACAAGCATTTTAGAAGTTGAGCTTCTCTACTTGGACCAAAAAGCCCCTATGAGGAAGTTAGGATCATTACCCCTATCTTGCATTTGAGCAGTGTAAGACTTAGAGAAGTTAAGAAACTTTATAGTTTTGTAATGTTATAGGCAGTCTGTGCCTAAATTCCATATGCTTAAACATTATACTATTTTATCTCCTGACCCTCAAGCCATAAAGCCTCATGGGTCCTCCTTCCTGATTCCAGTTGGCTCTGTCCTCCTCGCCATGCTTTGGCCAGGGCTCACTTGGCTGTAAGCACAGTCACACTGTGGGTTATAGACTGGCTGTTTGGGGGAACCATGGGGAGCTCTGAAAGCCAGCGTTTGGGAGGAGGAGTATCTGCACTTAGAGATTCCCCTTCGAGGAGGCTGGGCGGGAGGCACAGAGGTCAGGGAGAGGATGGGACGTCATGCTAGGTCTGTGATACAAAGGGTTTGAAGGGAGGGAGTGGGAGTACAAGGAAAAATAAGGCTGGATGCGACAGACATTACCTCACCAGGCACACATATTCCCAAGGCTGGAGCTTGGTTTAATAATGCTGTTACTAGGGCAACAGCAAAAGAACCTATCTCAGGGAGAACTCAAGTAGTAGGTTTTTGCACAAAAATATGGAGGCTCTAAGTCTGGGAAACAGGTTGAAGGGAAGTGGCCAGGTGACACATGAAGTCATATGGGACAGGATTTTGCATAAGTGTTTCCCTGACCTTAGACCCCTGGACTTTGGGGAACACAGGCTTTCCAGTGGGCACAACAGCAAGAACAATGGAGGGGAAGCTGTTTAGGCTCCATGATAGATTACAGATCATGCCCCTGACACTGTGGCCAGTCAAAAGAAACAGAGAAGGAGAGAGGGTGCCTTCCCACATCTGCCGTCATGTAAGCTCTCAGGGAGGAAAGTCCCAGTGCAGACCACACCAGGGAAGCAGAGCAGAAACGCTGATCTCACGGTTGCCAGTTCACTCAGCTTTCCTCTGACTTGGTGTCACTAAGGCCACAGGTAGGCATTAAAAGCAACGTTTTCACTTGAGGTAAGCATAGGAAGAGCCCAGCTGAGGGAGAGGATGTGATCTCCAGATGGGCAGCTCTGATGCTCCTCCACAGGAGAGTAACTGCTTTGGCCACCTCTTATCCAGTCGGGACATCACCCCGAGGTAGCCTGTCTTTCAATTCATCTCTCTGACAACCAGCCCAAGGAGAAACAGAACAGCAGAAGACATCCAGAAAACAATGAAGTTTAGAGATGTTCTCACCAGCCGCAAGCGAGGTTCTCAATAGTTCTCATCTGTCAGTGTTATCAGTTCTCAACTTCCAAACCAAAGGCCAAGCTGAGCCCACCGCCACAGAGCATCAAAATATGGGAAAGAAACCTCGAATGTCTGCCCAACATACTTAAATGTAAACTTTTCACTGCATCGCTTGTCTTCTTGACAATCTTTCCATGAGGATGCTTAAGAGACGGGACTTGGTTTCCTTCCCAATCTGTGACCTCACAAGCCTGTGAGTTTAGATTTCACCAAGGGACCATATAAAGTTTTCACCACCTTAAAGTTACAGTTTCAAATAGTGCAATAAAGAGTAGGGTGAAAATGGGGTGGCTGGTTACAGAGAGATTGCCACCTGGTAGTTGTGCACCATGGAGGACTTTGCTACACCATGTAGCACAGTAGCCACAGCATGTTCCAGCCAGTGCTGGAAGGAATTCTTCACTACAAAAATGGCTTTCTAGGGCCAGCGATTTAGCTCAGTGGCACAAGCACCTGCTTGGAAGTGCGTAGTCATGAGTTAATCCCTCGTACCAAAAAAAAAAAAAGTGGCTTTCTAGGGAAAGAGGGTCAACCCAGGGATCGGTGGGTCAATTGTTGTTGATTTTTCTGAGCAAACTTAGGCAAAGTGTTTTTCCATTTCATTTCTTCCCCACTGCAAAAGAAAAAATCATGTTGCACAATCTCAAGGCTTAATATAGGAATCTAAAACCTAAAATGTTTTAGATTCCTATATTCCTAAAAGTTTTCCAAACGAAAGGAAACTTCAATGTATCAACAGTTAAAAAACAAAAAACATTTAGAAACAGTGGCTCGATTGGAAGTGCTAACTAAGCAGGGACAGTTTACTCCATGGAGCCAATGAAAACAATAAAGAGCATTTTAAAGCCCTTGCACATGATGCAGTGATGTTCAGGAGGTAAAGGCTGTCAGGCACCTGCTCTGTGACTTGGGGCAGTCATAGCTCTAACAGTGCCTCTGTCCTCATTTGTAAGGTGGGCTTCTGGCTGTGACTAATCGTGATGGGAGGCTCAGATGCCTGACATGGGATTAGAAGTAACAGTGGTTACCTGTCACCTTAAATCCCATGCCATCCTTGTCACAATCCTGGAAAAGCAATCTCCATAACTCTATTTTACCTACTGCCCACAGAGGATAGTGTTTGCCCAGAATCGCTCCATAAAGAGTCCTGTCATTTCAAAGCTATGCTACAATTACCTCTCTCACACTGAAATCCACAAAGCACCCAGAAAGAAAGCCCATTTTCCTCCAATTGACGGGCTCTGACAGCTGTCCTTGACAAAATTACAATCTCAGTTTTAGGCATAGTGAATACTATGCATAAGCCTAGCTATAGGCAATTGCTATAAGATAAATAATGAGCCCAATTTCTTTCCTAAACAAGGTATTCAAATTCAAGACTTCCCCTTGGATCCTCCTAGATCACAAATGTCACAGAGACGGATAACATGGATGAAGCCAGGAAACAAAGTCATCGCTGGTGAGCACAATACATTGGAGTGATTTCCCTCCAGCCCTTACTCCATAAAGGTCCAGTGTCCTGAGTCAGAACCCAGGCAGCCTGAGGGGAGATAAAATTAGTTCATGCCAGCTAGTGCTAAGAACAGACCCAAGTCAGACACAGATACGTAGGAGGTCCCAGCATGTTATAGAATTTTTCTTCTCTTGCAGACTGACCTCCTTGTTCATTCCACCTGCTTCCCATGGACTTGCCCCCAGCCCCACACTCACTCACTTGCTGAGGAGACACGGGCAGGAGCAAAGTCTGGAATGGACTGGATGCCACAGGCGGCTCCTACGCCACAGTCCTTGAGCTTGTGACTTTCCTTGGACCCGGACCCACTGTTTCCTCTAATACAAAGCAGTGCCTTGTGCAGCCGAGGTTTCTAAGCACACATGGGTTCTGAGTTGACACATTCTCAGTTTTCACTTAACAAAATGGCATACATATTCTTTTCTGCTTTTTCTTCTTCCCGAGAAAATAAAAGTAGACCAAAATCAAATTTTCTTAGCACTTGTACCCAGGCCTCCACGTGGAATAGCTAGTGGGAGACATTTATGGACTCTGCCAACCTTGGTAACTGCTGACTCTGTCTTTACTGCTCTGTCCTCTCCCTTCACAAGTAAATTTAAAAACCATTAGCATCCTGATCTTGCAGAAAGGCAATTGAGGCCCTAGGAGATGGCAAAATCATACTGTCTCACCATGAAGGAGCGTCAGTGTCACTGGTGGGCCCCTGCCCTTTCCTTTTGTAAGATCAGGGGCAGTGCCCAGTGTCTTTGGGGTCATCAGAAGCATGCTGGCATCTGGGAGAGACCACTGATCAGGGAAGGCAGTGTCTCAATGGGACATCTAAATGCAGTGGTCTGTGCACGACCACCCTGCCTGCGTGCCAGCACTGCTGGGAAGGTCTCTCAGTGCTCGTGGCTGACCCACCTGCCCTCCTGGAAGGATGGGCACACCAGCAACCTGGCAGGTAGAGATGAGCTGACAAACAGCTGCACACACAGAGGGCAACCCAGCTGCTGCTGGAATGGCACAAACAGCCATCAGGAGAGAGCAAATTCTTTATTTACAAATGCACTGATGTGATCAGAAGGAGCAAAAAGACTTTTCTTCTGGCCCCCAAGTACTAAGGGTGCTACTGGTTTGCTTGCTAGGTAAAACCTGCAACCTTTCTATTGTGAAGGAATTTGGCGGTTCTGAGGAGACCTGAGATTATGTAGCCCTCAGTAGATAGAAGAGAAAAATAAAGCCCAGGAAATCAAGCAGTCCAACCAAGGGCCAGCAGCCTAGCCTTGACCTTCCCAAAGCAGGATCTCTGAAATTTACAATCACAAAGGTGTTATTGGAAAGAAAAAAAATTTTTTTTAAACATTCAGAGATCAAGAATTTGCAAAATGGTATAGTCTGTGTTCTCCTTCGTCTAGTCTCTCACTATTTAGCAGACATTCAGTCTAAAACCTGAGGACCCATTTTAGAGGCATACTGTAACCTGGCAAAGTCAAAATGAGCCCAGGAGCACTGATTTTAGGACCAAAAAGTTACACAGCCAGCACAAGTGAAAGGAATATCCCTTGAGGTTAACCATTCGAAGTGCTTTAAGATGGTAATACCCCAGAGTGTGAGGCACAGCTGACTAGTCAGGAACTTTCAGTATGATTTATCTATCTAAGTTACCTAGGCTTTGCTAAGTGAGGACATTTGTGGTCAAACAGGTTAAGCCCAAGCCGGAGGCTACTGTCTTCAAAAAGTTAAATCTAGATAAGAAAACTGGAAATTAAAAGAGACAGCCTGGAGATGGGGCTCTAGGAGAAAAAGAAGAGTCAAAACGAGGGAGAATGGTATAAAAGAAATGGCAGAAAGTCAGCAGAATCGCTCCACCAACTATGGCAGGTCGGCCAGTGAACTTCTCTCATGGAGAAGCAGCAGTCAACACACACAGCCCGCTCCCAGTTCAGGGTCCCCACACACCCTGCCTGCACAGCAGAGCCTGCCATCACCCTCCGAGGAGAGAGTCACTTTGGAAATTAATTCTGTTCCATATACTTTATTCCAAATTTCCCTCCTGGACAATCATGTGAGATCTAGGGAGGAATTTATTTTTTAATAGCATTTTTTTAATTATATGGAAAGCGTGGCTTCCCCTATCAATTAAATCCAGCTTCAATTAGTACTACTAGCATTTGGGTCATTACTTTAAGTGTCTGAAATCTCTACTTAAATAAGGTCACTTTCAATTTGGTAAACACTCCTAAGTCATATTAATTCATCGCCAGTCACGCAAGGAATGCTGAGTAAGTAAACATAATCAAGCATTAGCTAACTAGCCACAAATCCACTTGACTTAATTTCTCTCTTGGCAGAGAGGCAAGAAAGGAAGCAAACCCTCAGAGACATTCACGCATCATTCATTCTCAATAAATATTTATTATCTACCAGGTGCCAGGCACTATGCTAGGCTAAATATAGGTTTCATTGCATTAACAGTATTTGCAGCTAAGTTACATGTGACTGTTTTAAAGAATAAATGCTTATTTTCCCTGAAATACAAATTTTAACTCCTGAGATGCTGTATCTTCATTTCTGTCCATGCGCCTACCTCCACAGAGTGTGTGATATACCCCGATCCTTCAACTTCCGGGCTCAAGTCCCTCTCTCCAAAAGGTTCCCATCATGTGTCAAGTAGTTAATGAACTAGAATCAGTAAAGAGGCCGTCGGAATTTTAAAAGTCCTAGGAGAATGCAATTGGTAAAAAACAGTTGACATTATTGTACTGAGATTTTTTTACGTGTACATTTGAATTTTAAGGGGAGTAGTTTATACTTGTTCAAAATTTTAAAAAATACTAATATATATAAATATATATAGTGTACATGCAGATAGGAATGAAATCTAACAGAGGAATTCCTTTTGCCTGATTACAAATGCAGTACCTGCTCTTCTATCTTCTGCTGACAACAAAACCTCGCCACCCCCTCCAAATTCAATGCCCCAGAAAAGACCCACTCTGAGAGCTGACCTTAATCACATCACGTCACAGCGCCTCAATCAGCAGGGAAGCTGAGCTGGAGATCCCAGGTTCTCTGTCTGGTCTGCAGTTGAAAGGGGCCAGTCTAGCCTAATCCTCTCCTGCACCTCCCAGGAGCTGACCCTGACACACATTGGACCCACGTGTATCCCCCACACTCACAAGCTGCAGAGCCCCCTCCCCAGGGACAGCTGGCTCACCGAGATACACACAAAACATCCCTGCACCACCCAGAGGCAGAGCTGAGGTGTCTCCTGCCTCGCCGGGCAGTCTCCTGAGGCTGTTGACATCACAAAGGTGTCAACTGGCAACCTCATTGTCATGTGGCTCTGCCCTGGCTCCCCTTCACTTCAAAGGCAGGGGAAGGGTGAGACCTTTCAAAGCCGCCAAGTGGGCTGCCTTCCAGCAGCACTCTGGGACTGGGAGTGCAGCAGAGCCGCGAAGCTGGGCGGCGGGGCATTGGGCCTCGCGTTTCAACTCTGTTCAGTTCTCCTGTAATGGAAAATTGCTTTGCACAAAGCTAGAGTTTACAGTTCTTTCCAGCGCCCCTCCCCCGCCCCGCCCCACCTCTCGGCAGCCTCTGGATCAGAGGGACAGGCTGCTCCTGCAGGAAGGTGGAAAGAGGGCAGTCCTGGCTTCTTACTATGTCCCTTGCTTCAGGCCCTGGTCCCGTATGGTTACTCTTTTCCTTTGGAATGGGGCTGGTCTGGGGATCAAAGTGTCCAAATAACTGTCTGTGTCAAGCCCAAGAAGTGAACTGCACAGCGATGCACCTAACGGAATACCCCCCTGACATTCCCCTCAACACCCGGAGGCTGTACCTGAACAGTAACAGTATCACTAGTTTGCCAGCCATGCATCTAGGACTTCTCAGTGACCTTGTTTACTTGGACTGTCACGACAACCGGATTCGAGAGGTAATGGATTATACTTTCATCGGGGTCTTCAAACTCATCTACCTTGACCTCAGCTCCAACAACCTAACCTCCATTTCCCCATTCAGTTTCTCGGTGCTCAGCAACCTGGTGCAGCTCAACCTTGCCAACAACCCCCACCTGTCATCTCTCGACAAGTACACCTTTGCCAACACCAGCTCCTTGAGGTACCTGGACCTCAGAAACACTGGCCTTCAGACCCTGGACCATGCTGCCTTGCACCACCTTGTGGTACTCCAGACGCTGTACCTGAGTGGAAATCCCTGGAAGTGTAACTGCTCCTTCATGGACTTCGCCATCTACCTAATAGTGTCCCATCTGGACCACCCAGGTGAGGGCGTGATTGGGTGTGTTTGGAAGAGGATGTGATAAGAGTAGGAGGAATTGGTCCTAGAAGAGCTAAAGTCAAAAGATGGTCCAATCGGGACAAAAGTTGACTGAATGCAATCTTATTGCTCGGCTGGGCCCAATTTGAGTTGACTGGAGAGGCAATAAGACTTGGTAGAAAAAATTCTGGGCTAGGAAACCCAAGAACCAAGTTCCATTGTAATCTTGGCACCTACTGGCACCTTGAAAGAGTCACCATTTCTCTGAGCCTCAGTTTCCTGATCCATAAAGTGGGTATATGACTGAGGCTTATATAGAGATGTTGGGTCAAATAAAATGATGTATGTGGAAATGATAAACTATTATAATCACAAAGTAATGTAGAGATACATATTCCATTGATAAGTGGTTTTGGTCTACTTAATTCAGTAACAGAATTTTTCTAGGCTCTAAAAGTAAACTCAGTGATTCTTAGCCAATAGACCGTATATCAGGAATGGGATATATAGAAGAAAAAGATCCATAAAAATAGAAACAGCAGCAGCTCAGGATCGACCTGCACAGTGAGAGAGGAAGGAGAGGAGGCAGGAGCATACCTTGTGCAAGCAGCTTTGCTCTCAGAGCTGACCTCAAGGAAGGAGAGAATGGCCTGAATCCGTGAAGAACTAACAGGTCACAGAGCTCAGTGTTGGGCTGATAGATTCTGTCTCACAGGAAACCAACCACCAATAGCGGGAGGCTCCTAAGCTAGTCACTGCCACTCTATTCACTGTTCTTGGGCCACGACCCGGCAGCATCCCAGTGCTTCGTCCGCCCTCTTCTCAGGGACTTCACTGTCCTGTCCTCACTCTCTGTTTTCCATCTCAGCCAGTGGCACTATCAGCTGGCCAAGTCTGAGCTTCCGAGAAACAAGAAATACCTCCTCGTGCAAAGCCCTATATGATGCTGCACTCATGTGGCAATGTTCTAGGATTATTCTTGGTCAAGATGATAGACCTGGGGAGGAGCTGGGGGAGAGAGAGCCAAGTAAAAGTCTGCCTTCCCACTCTCCCCATAGGCATAGCTTAAAAGGTCCTCTGCTGGGGCCTGGAATTGAGTGAAGCCAGCAAAGATCCAAGGGTGGAAACTTTAAGGAAGCCCAGCATAGTTAGACTGAGTGCCTCCTTAAATGTTGTGCCTTAGACACCTGACCCTTCTGCCAGAAGCTTCAGCTTGAGTTGTTAGAATAAACCAAAAGGAACTCACATGGTCAGACCATCTTCTTAATACTTCTGAGCATAACACAAGAGCAGTTATTTTGGACACCACCTTCTCCAAGAGCCAGAGATAATATCTCTTTTCTCTCACTGCTGCTGGGATGGTTTGAGAATTCCCTAAAAGAGGGTGAACATTAGTCATTCTATGCAGAAAGTGTAGTTTCTAAATGGGATTCTCTCCCATTGGTGGTCATGTAACCAATCCCAGGAGGACATTGGCTGCTCCTGCCCCGCCCCCTGACGTGCACATCTTCCTGAGTGATCCGGGTCAGGTTGGGGGGGACAGGTGAGGGACCTCCTATCCTGGCTAAAAAGAGTGAAGTCGTTTGGTCTCTGCCCGTCTCATGCATGACCCTTAATCAAATTTCTGCTTGTGTAAGGGTGTCCTCTCAGAATTTTCAGGCTGACTGCTTTGGATTTCTTGACTCTTCAACTAGGTCCATACCTGAACAGGATTATACATAAGGTCTGCTTCATGGCATGTTTTCAGAGACATCAGGAAGGAATACCTATGTTATCAATCCATGAACTCCTGATGAATGAAATCTGCCTTTTGAAGTAAACCAAGTTTTCACCCAAAGCCAGTGGGCCCCACACATACACCCAGACTGCTAATCAGCTCACCTCCCTCCCCTGTGCTGTGGCCCAAAACAAAACTCCAGGTCACTTCATGAAGAAGTATAGGGCCTCATTTTATCAGTTCACCTTTGTTATCTGCTAAAAAATATGAATGAGCCCAAGGCCAAACATAATTTGTATGTTATAGAACTCTACAACTGGGACAGTTTTTTCACCCATGGTATCCTATTTTCTTTACTTTTAAGACACCCCATCAATCTTAAAATTTTGTGTCTTCCTCTCATGCAAGTGGCAGGATTGGTATTTTTAACCATTTCCTTCAATCAGAAAATAGACCAACTCATCCAAAATCACGCAGCTGGTAAAAAACAAGAAAATGATTTTACACTCTTGATTTCAAATTCAGGTCTGCATAGGCAGCCAGCTTTCTGTCACTGTGGCAAAATATATGAAATAATCGACTTTAGAAAGAGGGAAGGTTTATTTTTGCTCACAGTTTGGAAGGTTGCAGTCTATGGCTAGCTGACCCATTTCTTTTAGGCCTGTGAAAGACAGCATGTCATAGCAGGCGCGTGTGGCAGCTGAAGCTATTTACCTCATGGCACTCAGGAAGCACCACAGATGGCAAGTGGCCAGGTCCCAATGTCCCCCTTAGGGCCACACTCAAAATAACTTGACTTCCTGTAACTAGTTCCCACTTCTTAAAGGTTTTGCCACCTCCCAATTGTATGATAGGCTAAGGATCAAACTTTTAACTCAGGGATTGTTGGAGGACATTTAAGAGCTAAACTTCAAGTTACTTTACCAAGAAACCATACTATGTCCTCAACCTGAAAATCACATGATAGCTACCACCTTTTAAGTCATTATAGTAATTAAATGTAAGTTATACTATAAGATTATGGCCATAATACCTAAACTTATTTCCTATCTAGCCACTACTCAGAACATGCCCTAGATTACTTACATTGGGTAACAAACACTATCATCATTACAATAGTCTCTTGCAAATCCAGATTTCACCCCAATCTACCCAAACTCCAAAAAAAGATGAGCCTAATTTTATTGTTTGCACTCAATGGGGCCTTATCATCCTGAACCTTCCTTCCTCTATATACATGAATACATGTATACTGACAAACACACATGTGAGCACAATATACATCCATGTGCATAGACACGTATATACAGATACAAATGTGTGTTCACATAAAGCATGCATGGATATACATATGCATATAAATATATAGATGCACATGCAGACACATATGCACACAAAGTGGAACATACCTACAGTAAAATTCATCAAATTCCTCTCTTGCCCTTTAAACAGATCAATACAAGGGAAGTTATTTATTTTATTTGACTCTCCTATGAGTGGAGATATCTTTGTAATTGACAAAAATTCTTGGTGAACTTTGAACCCTAAACCTAACTATTTCATACCACATTTACTATCAAGCTGGCAGTCTTTGAAGATGCTCTAGAATGGAGCCCAACTGCTATTCCCCCATGTGCCCATCTTTTAGTTATAGAAAGAGTTTTGTAAAATAAGCGGAGTAACCTACTTGTTCATAAATCAGACTCCCGTCAAGGCCAGCCTGGTCCACCGAATAAGTGTAACACCAGTCTGGAATGCATGGTGAGACCTGTCTAGAAAGAAGGGAAAGAAAGAAAGTATTCTCCAATTTAAAAGCAGATTTGTTTTAGACTCAGGGAGATATTGGACTTTAACACTGGGAAGTTTTACCAATGGTGTAATATCAAAGTCAGTATGGCAGCAGAATGCAAGAAGGAAAGGTAATAGATGTCCATACTCCTCTCACCATCTGCTTATTGCCTACTCTGTGCCAAACAACTGCTGATGGACATAACCAGCTCACAATCCCAGGGCTGTACATGAAAAGTCACGTGACTGTGGCTCATTGGCATTGTACATGTCCCATGGTCCAGTCAGACACAACACAACTGAACAGAACCAAGAGAGGCCAGTATATTCCCAGTCATGCAGTTTGGTCAGCCTCAGTTACAAGTGACAAAGGACAGCCACCATGCAGGCAGCAGAGCCTGGTGGTGAGGTCAGTTTCTAGAGTGAAATAGACTTGGGTTATAAAACCTGCTACTTCCTCTCTGTAGGCTATCAGAGAAGTTACTTAACCTCTCTGAACTGCAATTTCCCATCTTTAAGACAGAGATAATAACAGAACCAGCCTACTGAGGGCTGTTGCAATGATAAACTGAGAGCTCTTATGAACTGCTATTACCATTCAGCTTGACATACTAAATGCTCAATAAACAAAGGATTAGTAGACAGAAGAAAAATACAGAACACTATAGAGTAGCAGACAAACACCAAGTGGTTCACTGGACAAACGGACTTCAAGAAGGCTCAGGATACTTGGAACTAAAGGATGATATATTCTCTTTAGGAGACAGGACTAAAGAGATACAGGTGAGGATATAGATAGGATACGGGGTGGTAAGTAGAGGTTGTAGGACTCCGGGTTCCAAAATTAACAAAAGGGAACAGGGGAACCCTGGAAGGAGCAAGGTATTAGATAAATTACGTGTATAGGAATCCAACCCCTGGGAAGCTCAAGCAGAAGTCTAAATCAGGGCTTGGTGTCAACCTGATCCATGACACTCAGGGCTGGCCCAGCCCCAGCAAAGTGGCTGTTCCTGAGCATCTGAATCTGGAAAATGCACTACCTTAAGCAGGTCCCACTTTCAGAGCCAGGTATGAACGCATAAATACTTTCCTGGAATGATGCTAAGAGAGTTTGTCCAACTGAGAGGTGACATGGCCGTGTGAAAGAAGCCACCAATGTGATATAACTTTGTTTAGAGTATTCGGCAATACCTTTGCTTCAGTTCCTCTTCCCTGTCTCCTGCCTGCCACCGAGTTAAAATTAAGCATTAGAGTTTCACTCCTTTGGTATCCCCCAAAAGTGTTATGATCTTGAAGAAACTATGCAAAAATATGTGAACTCCTGGAGAGAATAAAGCAAGTACCCCAAACCTTGATCAGCTCTTTTAATCAAAGGGAAGAGTGAGTTCTTGGGAAATCTAATCAGCTCTGATTAATCCTGCAACAGGGGGCAACATCAAAGGACACAGAGGTCCTAGAAGAAAATGGAGGAGATTTAAAAGAAGATACAAAGGTTGTATG